AGTAGTTGCGCTATGCCACTGGAATTATGTGGTAATCTGCGATGAATTTATTAAGTAGAAATCCTCTGGAGTTAAATCAAGGTAGCATATATGTACAGTAACCCCTGCTTAGGGTCTTTCTCAGGTCAGTCGGTAAAAGGCGCAGCTACAAATCAAGACCATGCTGGAGGTGGCTGGGTTCGATTCCCGGTCCGGTCTAGAAATGTTTCGGGTTGGAACATTTCTCGACTTCCCTGGACATAAAGTATGATTGTACTTGCCACACAATTATACGAATGCAAACATGGTACAGGCATCGAAAGCTCTCAATTATTAACCGTGGAAGTACATCTAGAACACTAAGTTGAGAGTACACAAAAATCTAATAAGTTAACATAAGTTTAGTTTACTTTATTAGGGAGGCTTTCAGCCTGGGTCTGGTTCTCCTCCACCAAAAAGCTAATATGCGATAAGCAATAAGCTTGAAATGCGAGGAAGGAAGGAAGGAACCCCTCCCTATATGCAGTGGGTGGTACCGTTCACCCCTCGCTGTTTCTAGACTGTCCTTCAACCAATTACGCTGATTTATATATGTGATTAGTGTCAACCATAAATATCTACAGAGTATCAGCTTTATATGCCCACTGCATATATATGGAGGGATTACAGCCCTCACGTATGTGTTGGTAGAGGGGAAACAGGTAAATATTGCAGGAGAGGATGCTCACAACATAACACTCGAAAGCAAATTTGCGAAATATGAAGTATGTTTGCATGAGGATTGCACTTGATTTTTTTTTTTTTTTTTTTTTTTTTTTTTTTTTTTTTTTTTTTTTTTTTTTTTATTATAGTCACTTTAACACTCTTGGGTCATTCGTGACTTGTCCGGGGGTGAGATTTGAACTCGTGACTTTGGCGTGAGAGGTATGGATGTTAACCACTACGCCAGGGTCGCCCCCATATCTCACTTGATTGTATTCTTTTATAAAGTCTTCGGGAAATATCAACTGGCGTTTTGTTTTTTTTTTTTTTTATATTAACTCATTTCTTGAAAAGGGGCAAAAATTCACCGGCAGATTGCTTTTTCATGGTATACAGTGTGGTAATAGGGGAAATGGCTTTAATGTTGGCCTACGGATCTAAAATTGGACCCATCGCTAAAAATCTGATATTTATCAATTTTATTATGGATATGTTTTGTTGCTATTGAAAATTTAGTCGATTGCTGAATTTATGTATGGGCCCGAATTAGGGGCATTTAGGCCAACATTACATCAATTTCCCCTACGATAATCAATAAATTATCTCAACATTCAGTGGAAGAACAATCATAAATATTGGTTTCATACAGAATGTCGCTAATCCATATTCAATTTCCTATGCAAACGCTGATTGTAACAAAAGTTATAACGAGCATGCTTGAGTGTACGAAAGAAGCGAATCGTGCGAAGCCGATTGAAAGCCGAGTGAAAACGAACTGCACCAATACATACAACCCATCAATTCCACACCTTGTTTAGACCAGGTTGGGGTTACTGTATGCTCATTTCGTATAAAACAAATGTCTTCTTGTAAGTTACAAGCAGAAGCTGAAAAGTAAAACCCGTGCATTTAGCTTCGAGAGAGTCGTGGCCAGGAGATGCAGTAGAATAAATTTTCATAAAATGATAATTTTCAAAGCCCGAGGTAAAAAAATAAAAGTTCCAGAATGTGTATAATGTTGTCGAAGGACCTGAACTATCAAATTTTGAGATGTAAAAAAAATATCGGCTCAGAATTAAGAAACAGAGGTGTACCAGTTATGGCATTACTTAAAAAATGTACCAGTTATGGCATGAACCATGTGGCCTATGAAGTTTAAATGGAGCAGTGCCATAACTGGTGTACTTGCCATAACTGGTAAATTTATCTTAGTTTTGGTTAGTTCGAGATCTAAAATTCTTGTTCTTAGTTCCAAAATTTAAGTTTTGCAAGGCCATGCGTAATCATTTTTTTCCCTTGATTAGTTTTCCGTCGGTCTTGTTTTCCGTACTGAGTACCAATGATACCGACGCCAGGAAGGCAGACACCACCTATCGACCCATCAACTCATGAACCGGGGACCAACGGCTTTACTTCGTGATCAAAAAGGCATCAGAAAATCCCGGCGGCGCCGACTGGGATTAAACCCAGGCCTTTTGGGGTGAGAGGCACCAGAGTCCGAGATCTTAGAACTTTTTCAAGTCTTAAGGGCCACCCATATTAGATCCTTTTGCGTTGCGTTGACGTAAATTTGACAGTTACACAATAGATTAAGCCACACAGACCACTTTGCCACAACGCGTCAGATACTAAATGACTAAAATTTTAGTATAAACTAAAACAAAATAAATCGGTATTGCAGAAACCTTCACCATTCGATAGAAGGGAATTTTCTAGTCACTTTGAGACTACTAATAAAATGTTTCTTCGAGGGCACATTTCATACAAAATATGGGCCAATTTGAGCTACATATTTGGCATACTTGTTGGGGATCTATCAACTTGTTGGGAACAAGGACTTGTGATCCACCGTACAAACTCGACTCACACACAGTTATTAACCCCATACTAAGAGATGAACCAGCCTATGGCTGACAGTCTCGTCAGTTGAGATAACCTAAGCAGTTAGCCCCAGGCATGGAAAATCATTTACATTTTTTTACATTCATTTGCTTCTAACTTTTGCCATCAACAGCATTCCGCAAAATGATGTATAGAGCTTTAGTAGGTTTTGTTATTAGCTGCAACTTTTGCCCAAAACTCAAATCTGTATCTTTTATGCATCACGAATTAGAGCGGGCAAAACTTGTTACTGTTTTTCAGTGAATGTAAAATACATTCACTAAAAAACAGTAGTGGATTCTGTTCGCTCTGGTTCGTCATGCATAAGATATACGGATTTGCGTTCTTAACAAAAGTTGTAGCTAATAACAAAACCTACAAAAACTCCATACATTATTTTGCGGAATTCCTGTTGATAAAAAAAAGTTAGGTGCAAATGAACGTAAATGAATGCACGAAATGAATGCAAATGATTTTCCATGCCTGGAGCCCCATTCAATTATTAGAAATAAAAAATATGGATTTTATTGTGTAACGGTCATTTGGAAGTTCAGTTTATCAGTCGTTCAAAGCCCGAAAAAGTTTGACCGACTTCGGTGATCTGAAATCAGTGTGAACCAGGAGACATTTCATTAATATAAAATCTAGTAGATCCAGCAAAGCAAACTCTCGGAATATTTTATTCAGAGGAGTTAAATAATATCAATGACAAGCCTGAGAACTTATGATTGATCTGAAGATCGATAAAAAATAGTTACAAGCAGCGTTGCCAGTATTCCAGATTTATCTGGATTTTCCAGATTTTTAGTCGTCTTGCCAGATACACAGACAGACCACATATATTTCCAGTTTTTTTTTAAATGTGTTCCAGATTTTCCCAGATTTTTTAAAGATGTTGCTTTAAAAATATCACTGCAATTGATTTACCCTGTAATAAAAAAAAAATAAAAAGCCAAACTTGCTACTTTAATTATTAAAGGCCATCAACGTTGGACATTATTGGAATTTTAAGGTAATTCTAAAAATAGTTCACAGTTAAGTGTGAGGCGTATTCTTTGTGAAATCAAAGGAGAATTTCAAGCTACTTCTGAGTAGAATGGAACGGAAAAACCCGCCAGTATCGCATCCAACGTCAGTGCCTATACGTAAACGTACTACGACGCGGCTCTCAAACAAAGGAGTAACAAGTGTGATACTATCACTGCTAGACTAGATCTTTGGTTTTCTCATGCAGTAGTTCATCAGAGAGGGGAAGCTCAGTAATCCTCATAACATGCTCATGACACTATTCTGCCACGGCATGAGCCAACGATGCCGAACCTAAACCAACCGTCTCCAACACTCCACTTTAAAGCATGAAATTAAGCCCGCCCACCAGCAACAAGGTGCAAAAACTAGCCAAGGTGAGGGTTTTTCAGGGACTCAATAGTTTATGCGGGAAAACTCTAACCTCACGACAGTTACACGTTTTACAGGACTACACTGGGCGACAAAACTGTAACTAGAGTCCCTGGAAAAGGTACCAAATGGACCGAAACGTCGGACAAAAAGAAAATAACAGGATTTTGATTTTGCTAGACTGAAAAGCCACCCTAAACGAATGACAAAATAAATGCATAATGAATGAAAAATCCCAGATTAGAAAAAAACACTTCGAGATTTCTAGTGGAAAAGTTGACAGACTGTATTTTTTTTTAATATTTAGGACTGAAAAATATTTTTTGCATCATAGACATTGAAAAACATTCAAATCCCGGATGACATAATTTGTGCTATCCAAGTCCGGACATTGAAATGTGGTAAGTTATTAGCAAAAAGAGCCATTTGGACTAATAGCGATCAACCTAGTAGCCTCGGTCTAGATTACCCCTAAATCTGGTTTTGTATCGAATCATTTTTCATCATTTTAAAGGAATGTCTAGGGGTCTTTTTTCTCGAAAAATGTTATGCCTGCGTCAATGAGCTGCATTGAAAAATACACGATTATACAATCTAAGCTTATATTTTTTTCTAAAAATAAACAAATGTGAAATCCAGTGGCATCCCGTAACCTCACTTTTTACCTGTGCACCAACTTTCAAAACCAGATTTAATGCCATATTCATACTCGGATCATGTTGAAAATACACTTAATTTTCTAGTTTACTCGATATCTATCCATTGCAAGCAATATTTTGATAATTGTTTATGTTTTGAGAGTTGGTGCACAGGTGGATTGAGGTTAAGAAAACGCCACTGGTTCCTTCCCGTTTTTTGGCAACACATGAATTTTTGTCATCGGACACTTTAATCTATTCGTGATTGTACAAGATTTAACAAGAAACAAATCAGAAAGCTGCCAATAACGGGAAGGTACTGTAGAAACATATAATGGAAAAATCACGTAACTATTTAATATAAATTGTATTATATGTTTAATTATTTAATGCAACACTCACCGAATATCTTATCCATTACTGAATACCACCAGTGAAGCTTCAATATACGGTAAAAGTGTTTTCACAAAACCAAACGGCAATCCTCATAACAAGAAGGTTTATTACACCTGAAATGAATCAAGAGAAACGCAAATATTAACATAAAGTAACGAACACTAAATTGAGCATACACAGAAACGGGTCATAAGAACTGGTTAAACAAGACTAACGATAATCACTATAACAACTCCTTCGGCTCATCGGTATCATCAACGGACAAAATTAATCCAACAACAGTTCGATGCCTCTATTCTGCACAGCTTCACCCCGAAGAACTTAGTCTACCTATGGCATACCTTGGAAGAAAGAGTGCGAATCTCTTCGGTTGAAGCCATAGACTAACCGCCCAGTGGCCATCTAGACCGGCATTGCTAATTTAAAAAACAGTAATTAAAATGTTACATGTACAAGGAATGTTCCTCTTCCCAGCGCAAAAAAAAACTTCTACGCGGAAACGAAGAGAATTCCAGCATTTCACAACTGCATAAAGCACAAAACCAAGGATATTTCCCGACTAACGTTCATTACTTGCAGTAAATTGCACAGCTTGCGTTTTTATGGTTATTGGAAACACAACAAAGGCTCACCACCTAAACCATGCCGTTCGTTTACTTTCCGGCGAACGCGACTCGTTCGACAGCTTTGGCGAATGACCCGGACCCCGGAGCAGTGTCGAATGCAATCGGATTCGAATCGGATTGGGTTGGGGAAATTCCTGTGCACTACGACAAGAAGAACATGGAGAAGAAGCGCTTATGGCAAGTACAAGCACTAAGTATGCTACATAAAATTTCATGCTCGTTTGCTCTTTCGCATTTGCACAATCGAAGAACCGCTTCTCCTCCTCACTGTGTATGGTATTTACCTATTCCAGAAATTGGATACCCCATCAAAGTATGCATAACTGTTTCACGGCCTATGGTGTGGTATTGATGACCTCGAAATGATTCGCCGTTATAAAATCGAAAAAAAAAATGATTTCATCTCATTCAAAATCATAACTTTTCGTCTAACTTATGATTTCAAAGCCATATTTTATTTACGATTTAAACTTCTCCCGGGAAGGAATCATCGAATAATGCAGATTCTTCTTCTTTGGCACCAAACCTACCTCCAACCTCATTGGTGTTAGGTAACAGCAATAATGATTCACTCGGTTGGATGCGATGCATATATAGTTAAATGAGCATAACAAACTCCTACCGAACAACACAAGGATGGTATTTAAATCGAGCGAAACACGGTCAGTAAAGACCCGTTGGTTGCAGCAACACACTTCCAGCCAGTCAAATTCATCTGGGAAAGCTTCAAACAGATTTTCAGAGCACGCACAAAAAAGTGTAAAATTTAGCAATTGTTCGCACCGCATTTAATGTGTCTGCACATCATGCTTCTTGTGTGAAGGTTAAACTCGACAATGATCGATATAATTAATAAACCGTCGCGATTTCGCGGGGCAACGTTGTGGGGTACTGACCTTTGGTCGTTTCTTCCATTGAGAGTCACAATGGAGAGAAGAATAGGCGAGCCGCCACCTATTGAATAGTAATTATGGCGGCGAGCTGGCTCTGTTGCACCGAATTTGCCTTACAAAAACGCAACAACTCGAGAACGGACGAGAAAATGAAATCAAACATCAACAATAACAGGTAAGAATTATCGTGAGTGGAAGCCATTGACATTGAGAAGCAATCAGTGCTGCAAATGGTTGCCGAGTGGGTATTAAATGGCTCACTTACGAGGTTGGAAGGTTTCATTGATGATTTGCTGCAGTTTTGCGTGTTTCCTGGTGAAGTGGTGATCACCAAGGGTTTATCTTTGAAGTGTAACTCTATTTTTACCTGTATTATTGAGTAATTCTTGAATATCAGATTGTGTCATGGACTTCTTCTTCTTCTTCTTCTTCTTTGGATTTATTACGTCCCTAGTGGGATTTTACTTAATGTTTGTATCACCTAAGTGATCATCGCTAAATCGTGCTTCGAAAATTACCAATTTCCTGTACAATTTTGTATGTCGTCCTTATCTTTATTTCCGAAGGAGAAAATTACATTTCCATTTGTATCTACAACGTTCACGATGCAAATGATTCTTTCTTAGGCTCATGTTGTAGCATGATAGTGAGGCTTCTGAACATGCATGTTTAAAAAATCCCTTGATTGATAAATTTGGGAGGATCCATGCTTTTTCAGGTGATAATAACTACTCTAAGATTGATAAATTAACTCAACGGTTCCCAAAATTTTGGTGGTAGCGATTCACTTTCAGAAGTACCAATAAACTCAAGACCCATCAATGTTGAAGACAAATGTTATGAGGCAAAAATGACGGAAAAAGCGTCTAAAATGGCCTGAAGACCGTCTGAAATAGCCATAAAACCACGTAAAACCTTGAAATCGACAAAATGGCGCATTATACGCCAAATCTCGAATAGTAATAGAAAGGGGCCCAGGAGCTATTGCAAACAAAACTTGTAACGATCTTCCTGGAAAATGATGAATGTACCTCCATAATTTTTCTTGTCGATTTGCTATATATTGCACATCAAAGATGCGCCACACACACCAAAATGGCAAGGCTTACTGTGCAGTACTTAAGGGACAAGATTATTTATTAAACATCGAGCCTGTTTGAACCAAAGATTTAAACACGATGTTTCAGAAACCGATAAATGGATGGAACGTGGACTCCTCGTTCCATTTTGGTTATTTATGATTGGTTCGTCGTTTGAAGCATCTAGTCTTGAAATGTTAAGGTTGCTCCATTTTCCTCTGACGGTTGGAACATGAGTACTAACTCTTGTGCTAGCCTTTTATGGCGTATGGTTATAGCGAAATTACACGCTTTAAATTCCCAATTGTTTTCACCTTGGACCTAAATAAGCAAATCACACAGAGCAAGAGACACATGGCCATTCGCGTCTGCTCCATAAAGTTAAATCTGTCTGAAAAACAATTATGCAATAACAATAACATATCGCATCCATCACATCCCACATGGGCCAGGACCACTCCGGTGGCAGAAACGTCATCTACCAACATTTTACTTGAAGCCAAAGCTGTTGGTCCTCTGGCTCGATTATCTGTCAATCTAAAACAGCTGATGCAAACATTGAAAAATTATGCTCCGTCTACATAGATGTTTGATTTGTTGCGCGGCAAAATAAACGTGATAAATGTTCGACAAGCGCGTACATGTAGGAATTAAATATTTATTATATTGATTTTTAAATGAGACAAGCTAATCATGATAAATTCATTTTCATTACTGATTATTCACATAAGATTTTTTAACGTCAATGCACATATAAACATAGCATAAAAACTGTAGACTACAGTGCTGACACTACCAATGGTGGTGGCTTCAGCAACCCTCCTTCTTAGCAGAGGATTGGCCAGGACCCACGGATTTACATCCCTTCCTAAGGAAAACACAACCAGAGATTTTTAAGCCTAAGAAAAATCCCAGCGACCTCCGCTGGGATGTGAAAACACTAATGCTGGTCACAGTCTATTTCTCACTTTCACAGTTGAAATTGAAATATAAACTTGATTTGACAGCCAGAAATAATTTACAGGAGTTCGGTAAACGAGTTTGTAATTTGCAGTTTGGCTTGAACAATCGTCGATCGAAACAGTATTTTGTAATGTAAGGAGTCCGTTGGCCGTTTTTGCTAACTTCGAAGACACTGAGGTCAATACCAGGTTCCATTTTTAAGTATAGAAGTCTTTAACGGTACGGAAATATTGGTATTTTGAGTAAAATGTGACATGATCCGTGTTGAAAACATTGTTGACTGCTTTTGAAGGCGTTTGTATTATATGATTAGATTTATGTCTTCAGGCGTGAACGATCGTCGGTTGCAGTGGTTTTTTTTTTGTGTGATTTGTAATGGACTTGGTGGCTTATTGATGACCCTTGCATACTGAACAGAAGATTCCCTTTACATTACTGAGTTCGCATCATTTTCTCACCATGTTTTAAAAGATCGCATAACGTTCCAAAGTGATTCCTGATCGAATTCACCCTTTCCAGTAACAAAACCGCCCTTCTTGTGACTACCGTAGGGATGCAGATGTATACTCGGTCTCTAGTAACAATCCGTAATAATCCGTTGCTTTCAAAATCTCTGATCTTGAAAGTACTGATTCACCAGAGTTTGCACACTGAGAATGGATTACTAATCCCAGCCCCATTAATGTGGTTCTTTGTGCAAGTTTCGCTGAGTCTGGTCAATCATGGAGTAGGTTACTAACGGTTACTACAAGTGTAACCAGTTCCAAAACCCGATGTGTTTTAACTAACTGAAGACAGGCACTCACATATTCAAATGAAGTAAGGAATCTTTGGATCCCTATTTTCACTAGGCGCTATCGAAGTGAAGGCATTTTGCTCCGCTTCTAGTGATAACGATCACTAATCAAATCTAATCTTATCTAATCTAACACCAACACAGCCAGTTCTTGAAAGCATCCTGGAAAATGATTGACCTTCATAATTTTTCTTGTTGCCGTCATTAGTCGCCGTCGTAGTCGCCGTCGTAGGCAGTACGATTCGTATATTTAAAATTGAACATCAACCGCTGAAAGTATATGAAATATCGCGTATCTCTGTTGTTTATTACATTACATAACAAGCGGTTTTCAGAAACTCGATGACCCCGTAGCAGAATATCATGGGTTTAATCGCAAGCTCTCCCACAACAGAATAAACCGGCATCGTTGGGTTCCGAGAGCATAAATCGCAGTTAATAATCAAAAGTTGAATTGTTTAAGCCATGAATTTCGGAAAGGATGTATGCGTGATCCAGTTTGGAAGACATTAGTGGCTGCTTTCGGGGACGTCGCTTTATTTGAATATCTTTTTGTTAAGTCGGTCGTAGATTGTCGTAATGTAAAGGGCACGGTGGCTATAGAGCAACCGTTTTTGCTGGTTAAAACCCAAGCCTCGTTACATTACTGAGTTGATCTATCCAGGCCTCTATTATATAGAATCGTTAATAATAGAAATCTGTGGAACGATTCGGAGAAGTAAAACCTGTATTTAGACAACTGTGACGTACGCCTGA